GTGGGCTCCAATTTAAGAAGGAATACAGTTCATCATGGTGACCAAGGCAGACTCTGATCCTGGATGTGGTGCCAGTTGAGGCTGGAGAGATGGCTCAGTGGTTAAGAGCACTGGCTGCTCTTGCAGAGGACCCAGGTTTGATTCCGAGCACCCACATGGCAGCTAACAACTGTCCACAGCTCCCGTTCCAGGTGAATCTGAAGCCCTCTTCTGACCTCCACTGGCATTGCATGACACGGGTGCACTTACATACACGCAGGCAATACGCTCATACACATAAAATAAAAATAATAATAAAAAATTCATCCTTGTGATTGCATTGTAGCTATAGTTTGTTTTCACTACTGGATACTATTCCTTTCTAAACATAATGAAAGTAAATTTCCATATTCTAGTGAAAGTACATTTGGATTGAAGGGTGGGTATTGCTTGGGTGTTTTGGTTTGGTTTGGTTTGGTTTGGTTTGGTTTGGTTTGGTTTGGTTTTCGAGACAGGGTCTCTCTGTACCCTGGAACTAATCATGTAGACCAGGCTGGCCTTGAACTCACAGAGATCTGCCTGCCTCTGCCTCCTGAGTGCTGAGATTAAAGGTGCGCACCACCACGCCTGGCAAACCAGTGGTTTACCATCAGAAACAATCCTGCTACGAATTTTCCCTTACATGTCCTGGCCTACAGACAGAGGTTTTCCTAGGGAATTCTCCCAATGATGAAACTGCTAGGTCATAACCTGTGTGTAAGATAATGCTAAAACATTTTGGTTTTCCCTTTATTTTGTGTTTCATTTCTTGAGACAAGATCTCTCTAGATAGCTCAGGCTGGACTTGAACACGAAATCCTCCTGCCTCTCTGCCTTCTGAGTGCTGGGATGCTATGCTTGCGCCATTATAGCTGGATGTTGAAGTCTTTCCCTTTGACATCCCTACCACAGGTTACATAAGCGTCTCCTGGGATGCTAAAAACCTCCTGGGAGGTTTTCACTAAAACGGTGAATTTTACCAGCCTAGTGATTTTTTTTTAATTTTTTTGCAATGATCTTAGTGTGCATTTCCCTGCTATCACAAAGGTGAGCATTTTTACTGTTTTTAATTTGCTCCTGTTTCCCTCTCAGGAAACGTCTGCTCCTGTGCTGCCTGCTCCACCGTAGTCTCCTTGTCATTTTTTACAACACCATGAGAATGGATTGTGGCAGAGCATTCTAATTTCTTTTCTTGCTGTGATAGAAAACTGAGCAAGACCAATTTGGGAAGCAAAGGGTTTATTTGAACTCAGAGGTTATAGTCCATCATCAAAGGATGCCAAGGCAGACACTCAAGCAGGAACCTGGAGGCAGGAAGTGAAGCAGAGACCATGGAGGAAAGCTGCTTACTGGCTTGCTTCCCCTGGCTTGCTCAGCTACTTTTCTTATGCAGCCCAGACCCACCTGCCCAGGGACGACACCACCCACAGTGGGCTGGACCCTCCTACATCCATTAGCAATTAAGAAAATGTCCCCACAGACATGCCCACAGGCCAGTCTGATGGTGACAAGCCCTCATTTGAAATTCCCTCTCCCCACATCTCTAGTTTGTGTCAAATGAATGAATACTAACCATCACAGGAAGGTATGTCCAGCCATCCATCAGAAGCATAAGTTCACTGCACATTTTGAAGTTCTCTCTGGTCTTTCTACCATGTAGGGTTTTGTCAGTTCAAATAACGAACAAGTGTTGAGAGTGTTCTACTTACCTGGAATACCGGAGGTCTTTCAAAGGAGCTTCCAGATACAAATCGCTCACCTGGACCCAGAAAATATCACTCTCCATGGAGAGGGCATCTTTCCCCGAATCAGCCTTGATCTCCCTAGGAACCTCCGAGGTACTGTTACCTGTTACAGTATTTTACCACCTGGGGACAAAGAATACCAGTGTTTTCAGCTTTGCTTTAATTTTTTGAAGGTTTGGTATTGACTTGTTTTTAGTTCCTTTATTGGCTTTTAAAAATCTTCCCTAGTTCTTTTCTCTATTGTTCTCAGTTGCTGGGGCAGGAAGGGAGAGGACAAGAGTTAAATTGGACTCAGTGACCTAGACCTAAGACCTCTGGCCAATTCTGTTATCATTACATTACCTTTAGAAGGATCAGGAACTGTCACCTCCAGAGACCTTTTGGTCCAGTGTGTGTTCCTTCTGGCCACAGCTTTTCCTAGAGTTTCCTCTCCCAATAATACACTCAGAGTCTTCTTGATAGAGAAGATAAAGTCTAATGCTCGATCAGGTATAGAATTCTCAAAATACAACCTGCACATAAATACAGCCACAGCCTCTGGACCTGTATTTGGGGGTTGTATATTTAAAAGGCTAAATTAGACATTATTAGTTGTTTGCCCATGTGTCCAGTCAAAGTTTTTCTGGTCACATGTGGTCCTCAGAGTCATCTTCCTGTGTCAAACTGGTAATTCTGTCTTGGTGGGTTCCAAAATTCAAGCGAGGAGCTGTCCTAGCTGTCTCTTTCCTCCTCACACAAGACAGGACCAAGGGTCAAGAGAAACCTCTCACTCTTCATGAGTCCCTCTTCTCATTCTTGGAATCCACTTTCTCCACAGGTGCTTCAGACTAAACCTTCACTCCCTAGTCTTCCCCCTCTCTGACTCCCTAAAGTCACTGACTCACCCCTTTGTGATCATCTATTAAATTCTAAATGCCAGCTCCTTGAAAGCATGGTCATAATTGTTAATGAAGCTAAGTCCACACTGTAATATGAGAGTTTCAGCCCGAGGAGGGTTACCAGATCCACACATACTCTCAGCCCTCAGTATCCAGCAAAGATAGCTCCAAGGTCTCCCTTGGATTCTGAAATCCACACATGGTAAAATGGCATGGTATTTGCATGGAGCCTACACATATCTTCCCATAAACTTTACTCCATCTCTAGAATTCTTATAATACCCAATACAATATAAATGTTGATTAAACAGTGATTGTACTCGATTGTTTAGGGGATAATAACACAAATGTATTATTTTTCCAACCATTTTTGATCAACAATGTTCACATCTGTGGATCTGAAACTGGCAGGCACAGAGAGCCAGCAGTGATGGTCATGAAAGCGAGCCTTTGCCACATGGTTGCAAACCGGGTACCCAGTTAGCATCAATAAGACAGTAGATGTGTTAAATCTGAATATTGTCAGTGATAGGATTGACCAGTCTTGGTCTCAGCATTTCCCATTGTTTTGCAGTAGATACTTTCATGTCTTTGCCTACCTTGCCCCTCAAAGAATTTGAATTTGCTGCTGCTTAGTGGTAAATTTGGGTATCTGAAATCTCTCCCCTCTCCATTGCTTACCCCCTTCATTGAGGATACTGTGGCTTACTTAAACTAGTTTGATCCAAATATATCTTTTATGTTAACTGAGATTTAGTAACCATGAAAACCCACTTGAAGAGTATCCAGGTGTCTCAGTTTGTCCATCATTGGAAGGACACCAGGGGTGTGGAAGGTTCAGTATAAGAACTGAGAAAGTCCCAAGTGAGCCTGTTATTGCCTTGATGTTCTTGAGGACTAGCTCATAGCGCAAGTACCATGTCATTAAACTCGTGACTCGGGTACAAATTCAACTCACTCATAAATCGCCTGTCTCTCCAAACAGAGAAAGCATGGTAAGTGAATTATCAGAATGTTCCCTTTGCTTCTCACTTCCCCCTGAGCTGAGATTCTAGGCTTGAGACATAACTCATATATTTCTAACCACACTGGTTCCCTCCTCTTCCAATGTCCACAGGCAATGAAAAATATGAAAGCTTCTTGGATCAGGCAAGAAAAAACATAGAAAAAGAGTACAATAAATACGAAGGTATTGAGCACTATGAGATGATAACTGAAGAAATTCCTGAGGAGGAATCTACAGAGGTAGGATGAGCTTCACCTTGCATAGAGAATGTATGGAGGGTAGAATGTGCAAAGATCCAGGGGTTAGGAAGACATGGTACATCCCAGAAACAGAAGAAAGACAAAGGTAAAGGGGGTGGGGGTGGAAGGCAAAGTGAGCCTTAAGAGGTGAGTTGGTATCTAGAGAACCCAGAAAGAGTTTGGGACTTCTTGAGAGCAAGAGGAAGCCATTGAAGTGCATCAACCAGAAGTAGACCATAGTTGAATTTGCTTCTTTAAAAGATCCCTGAGAAGGCAAAGTGAGCCTTAAGAGGTGAGTTGGTATCTAGAGAATCCAGAAAGAGTTTGGGACTTCTTGAGAGCAAGAGGAAGCCATTGAAGTACATCAACCAGAAGTAGACCATAGTTGAATTTGCTTCTTTAAAAGATCCCTGTAGCTATCTCACAGAGCAGTGATGGGACAGGCTTGATGGAATAGGAGCAGACATGGGAGATCAGGGCTTTCTAAAGGTGATGGAATTGTTCTAGATGAGAAGTGGTAGAGGCATGAACAGTGGTGATGACAGTCAGGGAAGGGAGCATTGACTGGGGTCAAGGAACATTTCAGACCTGGAATGGTCAGGGACTTGGGATTAATTGGCTCTGGAGTGAGGCAGGGATGACTTCCAGGTGCGTCACTTGGATGCATTGTAAAGAGAGGGCACTCAGAGAGGAAACTCAGAAGGAAAGGCAAGTTTTTGTGAGAGAGGGAGGAAGGGAATGACCCAAGAGAGTCCATTACTGAGCATGAAATTTCTGCACATCACCCAGCACGAAATTGGAGCCACCGCTGGGTCCTGTGGATAAAGGTTTCAGAAACTGATTTGAAATCTTCTATGGTCACTTTAGTCACGGGAAATGACAAGTTTCTCTGGGGGAGTGAACAGAAAGTGTGTGGGTTCAGAATGGAGCCCTCCTAAAATAAGTGGGATTGCATCAAGAAAGGAAGTCCCAACTACACCAATACCTGAGTGAGGAGAAGGTCAGCCAAAGAAGTTCTAGGGAAATGCAGCAATGTGTGGTGTCACAGAGTGGGAGTCAAGCCAACAAGTGGCCTACAGGAGGAGGAAGTGGCCCAGCTTGTAAATGAAGGCAGCATTGGACATTGTTCTCCAACAAACTATTCCTAATCAGGGAGGCTGCTGTCTCTACTGTGCTCTTCTTTAAAAGAGCAAATATTCCTGGAAATATTGCCATGGGAGAATTAGTAGAGGTAACTAATGAGTCCTGAGACTGGCAAATGGGGCTTCAAAAATAGGGAAGAGGTGTGTCATGAGGAAGACCAGGGACTCTAAGGGTCAACAGGGATAACATGTTGGAGAATCCCGGTTAATGCAAGAGGTTTAAAGTGACCCTTAGGGGGCTAGAGAGATGACTCAGCGGTTAAAAGCACTGACTGCTCTTAAAGAGGACCCAGGTTCGGTTTCCAGCACCCACATGGTGGCTAACGACTATCCGTAACTCCAGTTCCAGGGGAATGACTTCCAAGGGTATTGCATGACATGGGTGCACTAACATATATGCAGACAATACACTCATACACATAAAATAAAAAATAATAAATTTTAAAAACTAAAAACAAAGTGAACCTTAGCACCAAAGATGATCAGAATTAATACAAGCTGCTATTTATTGAACTCCTGCACTCAGCCCCTGCCATGCATGCTATCATCTCACTGAGTCTTGTTACCATGGTGATCAGGGAGTGTAGTACAGTTATCATTTGCATTTCATAGTTGTATAGAACTCACAGAAATAAAGCATATCACTCAAGGCAGGCACAGAGCCAGGATTTGGATCCAGCCCAGTTTGGGCATATGGGCTCTTTGTGTCCACCATGAGGAGCAGCAGCTGTGTGTCTCTACCTGCCAACTCCCAGGGCTGCTCCAGTAGCCTTAGCACAGTTGCCTCTAGTCTGATCTGGAATGGAGTCTTTATGAGTTTGATGACACAGGCAGAACTGAACTAGTCCTCCTGAGGAAGGCAGGAGCAGACCACCCATGGGCTCAAGGAGCTGAGCACATGGTTGGCCTTGCTGTTCTAGAACTGAGATGACTAGGGCCACTGCTGTAGACCCCATTCCTCTCCTCTGGACACAGCCCCAGCCCTTGCTCTGTGTTTTCTCTTTGTGGGTCATATCACGCATTGGCTTTCCCTGCTGAGCCCAGGATCGAGATCTTGCCCTTCTCAAACAATATTTCTCAACCATTTTCACTCTCAGACCCCCTTGGAAATCAGTTAGATACTTTTTCCTAATGTCCGTCATGAGATATTTTTATTATATGTAAAGCGAATTCCTTTTTGAATAGTTCCATATTCTTCAACTTTTAATTTTTTAATAATTATATATTCACAGGGATTTGGAAAATGGTTTTCCTAGTGATATCTTTTTACATACCCTTTTAATTTTACCTATTTTTTAAATAAAAATAAAAAGTTTTATCTATTTTTTATTTTATGTGTGTGAGTGTTTAGACTGCACGTATGTAAGTGCAGCCATGTCCTGCAATGCCCACCAAGGCCAGAAGAGGGTATTGGATCCCCTGGAACTGGAGTTACAGGCTGCCATATGGGTGCTGGGAACCAAACCCAGATCCTCTGCAAGAGCAGCCAGTGCTCTTAACCAATGAGCCATGTCTCCAGCTCCTAGTGTTAATATCTTACATACTCTTGTACATTATCACAGCCTGGAAATTTAAATTGATACAAGCCACAGCATTTATTCAGGCTTTTCCAGTTTTATGTATATGTGCGTACACCCGTGCATATCATCCCATACACTTACAACTTGTGTGTAGATTTATTCAGCCACCATCACTATTAAAACACAGAACTGTTCCACCACCACAGTGATTCCTAGTACCTTTTTGGGGAAAGAAAAGAAAAATAAAATCTCCTTCCAATTCAGAAAATCTCTCTGTAAATGTAAAAGACAAAGAAAGCAACTTTGTTATTCATTGAGCAGTAAACCAGAATGTGACTTGTATCACAATCTGCTGAGAGATTACAAAGGCAATAAAGGAGGTCTGGCCCCATTTTATACCCAACTGGGTTTAACCCTTTGTATGCACATCCTCAGAGAAACAATAAATAACTTGTCCTCAAGCAGAGGACTTGGCATCATTACCCCACATAATTACAGATGGTGACTGGGTGACCACCTGTGTAAGCTGTGTGGGCTTTATACAAAGGAAAACAAATTAACCAGGCCCCTATCCTCCCACAGAAACTGGGAGATAAGGATGCCATTTTTTTTTTTTTTGATGTTTACCTCTCAAAAAGATAGCTCCTAGGTGCTCAAGGAAGTCAAGAAAATAACTTTCTGTCTCTTTCATTTTTCTAGCGTAAACATCCCAACAAGATGAAGAGGGAAAGGGGAGGCCTCCTATTTTCTTTGTGTGCATGTGTGTGCATGCGTGTCTGTGTGTGTGTGCGTGCACACATATGTATGTGCACATATGCATGTTCATGCAAGTGTGTGAAAATATGAATGCCTAGGCTAGAGGTCAATGTCTGTAAACTTTTTTTATTGCTTTCCAGGGTTAAGACAAGCTCTTCCACTGAATTCTGGTAGACTAGCTAGCTAGGAAGCTCTCAGAATCCACTGGGATTGCAGGCATACACCACCACACCCAGCTTTTTATGTGGGTGCTAAGGATCTGAACTTGGGTCTTCGTGCTGCTGTTTCACCAACAGCCATCTCCCAAACACCCGTAGGGGAATCTCTTCAACAAGGAAATCAAGCCTCATGTTTTCAGTTGTGTTTACTTGTATGTCACCCTGTTGTAGCCACACCCACTCCTCCCTCCACAGCCCTTACCCCCAGCGGCCACTGCTCAGTTCTTAGTTCTGAACGTTTATTTCAAGCATGTCATTTGAATCCTATGACATGTAACCTTTTGAAATTGTTTTTTTAAAGATTCAGGATAATGTTCTAGAGATTCACCCAAGCTTTTGTTGCCGAATAATCTTCCATGCAATGGTTGAACCAGTGTCTTTACAATCCCCATTCCTCCATGAAAATTTTAATACCCTGAACATAGCTATCTGATTTTACACTGAGGCCCTTCAGAGGACCACAAGCCACTGTAGTAATCTAAAATATTTTTCACTTCCCTTGAGAATTTTCATACATTACAAATGATATTTCCCCCAGTGAGAATGCATGCTTTACATAAAATGGCCGCATGGGAATAACTTGCTTAAAATCAAGATTTCAGAGGTCATTGTAGTATCTGAGATAGAAAGAGCTAAAAGGTGATGGTCTAAGGTAGGCTGGAGGAAAAGGGCATTGACACCAGTGGGTCAAGAAATTGAAGAGACAGAGAACAGACCATCCTAGCTGGGTACGCTTGCACAGGGCTGTAGACGTGACCATTGAAGCTGAAGTCATGAGAAGGACACGTGCAGCAATTCTGTCATATTTAAGAACTTTTTGTCAAAACATTTTTTATTTAAAAATTTTATTACACTTTTTAAAGATTTATTTATGTGTATGTATGTGTGCCCAAGAGCATATGTACACATGTGTGTGTGCAGTTGTACACAGAGGCCAGAAGAGGGTTTTAGATGCCCTGGAACTGGAGTTACAATGGTTATAAGCCTCCCAGTATGAGTGCTGGGAACCAAACCAGAGTCCTCTGCAAGAGCAATAAGTAATCTTAACTGCTGAGCCATCTCTCCAGCCCCTTTATTACATTTTAAATTTTATTTTGTGTGTGCATGTGGGGAGGTCTGTCTGTGTGTGGAGGTCAGAGGACAACTTTCAGGAATTGGTTCTCTCCTTCTACCTGGGAATTGAACTCAGGTCATCAGGCTTGGCAGCAAGCGTCTTTACTCACTGAGTCATCTAGGTGGCCCATTTTGAATTTTTTTTTAATTCTGTTGCTCGAAGAAGGCAGGAGAGATGGCTCAGGGGTTAAGAGCACTGACTTTCTTCCAAAGGACCTGAGTTCAGTTCCCAGGACCCATTATATCAGCTAAAAATTGCTCATAACTCCAGTTACAGGGGATCTAATGTCCTCTTCTGGCCTCCACATGCATTGTACCATATGGGTGCACTTACATACATGCAAGCAAAACACTAATACACATGAAAAATAAATAATAATAAAATATTTTTAATGTTATTTTTCAGAGCCAGATGTGGTGACACATGCCTTTAGTCCCAGCACTCAGGAGACAGAGGCAGGCAGATCTTTATGAGATCAAGGCCAGCCTGATCTACAAAACAAGTTCCAGGCCAGCTGGGCTACAGGCAGATTCTGTCTCAAAAAAACAAACAAACAAGAAATTCTGTTGCTCAGGGCTGGAGAGATGGCTCAGCAATTAAGAGCACTGACTGCTCTTGCAGAGGACCCAGGTTTGGTTCCCAGGATCCACATGGTGGCTAACAACCACCTGTAACTCCAGTTTCTGGAGATCTGACGCCCTCTTCTGGTGTCTATGGGCATTGCATGACAAGGGTGCACTTTCATACATGTATGTAGAACACTCATACATATAAAATAAAAATAAATAGCTCCAAAATTTTAATTCTTAAAAAGCCTATTGCTTGTTTATAAATGTATATAGATTTAAATTTTTTTTATTTTGTAAAACTAATCTTTACTTAGTACACCAATTTTAATGTAAGGAACATGAACACTTAGTGCTTTACCCTTTCTGGAAAAAAAAACAAAAAAACAAACAGAATTCATGTACTAGAACAATCTGCTAAATTGCTCTTCTCTCTTGCTCCAGTTAAGTGCTCATATCCAGATGGAAGTAGAGCGACTTATAGTCCAAGACTATGCCCTCGAACACCAGAAAACACTCACCCCCAATTCCACGGATGACACTTGCTTCAGCCATCGGAACCACTACAAACTAGCCAAGTGAGGGGCCTTTTGTGTTTGTTGTGTTGTCTTTGCTTCACAATGTGGCAGAGCAAGCAGTTCAAAGTGTCCCCTGAGATGCTGGTTGCTCATCTAGGAATGAGAGCCACTCACCTTGTGTTAACTGCTACCCTTGAGCATCAAGCCAGCCAGGCAGCTCAGCCTCTTAGAGCCAGAATACCCTATCCAATGGACAGGGATATGCCAGGTCCATGAGGACCCATGCCGAACATGATCCAGGAACCAAAACAGACATGTGGACTTCTGAAGGGTACATGTGGTTTATAGCCCCTATTCTGTGACTCTTAGCTTTTTTCCACTCTGAAGAACAAAACTGTACACAGAGGCGAGACCTCATACTCTTCTTGCTTTGAGAAAGGTAGGCTTCCCCTCTTGAAAGGGACTGGCAAAGAGAACTCTTAAATGTTTCAGAGTGCAGCTGCCCGAGTATATCCTGGACTTCGGCTACATTGTGCTGGGTGATGTCAGAACCCACATCATCAAGATAACCAATACCAGTCATGTCCCAGTGTCCTTCCATGCAGAAAAGCATGTGCTTCGTGGCACAGGTAAGGGAGAACCCACCTGACTGGCCCATCCTGCAGCACTCCTAGTTCTGCACCCAGCTGAAATCATGTCTAAGCCATTTTGGTGAGACTTTGGTCATCCTTCCCCAGAAGGCTGCTACCTTGAGTACTCCTGTGCGCCCTTTCCCTTTCTCATGAGAAAAAAGAAAATCTTTCATTTTTCTTGGTCCAGGTTTCAGCACCGAGCTAGACCGCGTAAAGAATCTACCTTACTGTGAGACAGAAACATTTGAAGTCAGATGTGATCCACAGGGGGTTAATCTTCCTGTGGGGAACAAACAAGTCGTTCTGCCCATCAAGGTATGATGCACCACTGGATCCATATGACCTTCTAGGTTTCCAGCTTTGCTTGCAGAGCACCCCAAGATGATACCATAAGGGGACTCAAAACCTGGGATTCTGAGCATGCTAAGGAAAAATTCCACCACTGACATGTCTGTGACATAGTTTGTGTTTCTCCTAACATCATGCTATATGGTGGCATTAATTTTATGCCCATTCCAGGTGTTTGGAGGACCAACCATCCACATCTGCCTCAAAGCCACAGTGACCATTCCAAGTATGACACTGTCTTGTGGGAAAGTCGAATTTTCCACTATTCAGTGTGGACAGTGCATGGTGGAAACTATTCAGCTTTCTAATCATCTTCACGTCCCTTGTGAATGGTTTGTCTATACCCCAAAGCCCTCTAACAAGGTGAGTTGTGCTTCCCTTCTCCCCATCTTCATTTCATCCAGAGTCAGAATCTAGGCCTGCCCTCTGATCATTTCAGTCTCCTATTCAAAGAGTTATAGTAGTAGCCATTGCCTGGTCCCTTAGCCCAGCACTCAAAGTTCTATCAGGCCTTGATGTTTAGGAGAATGTCTAACTACCCTTGTACCATGGGTTCATATGGATTAAGTCTGTTTTTTACATGCATGATCTAATTGTCTAACATTTGAAACCCAGATGGAGAAATATATCCCAAAATACTTAAGACAGAAGCTACAAACTAAGTTGACACCAAAGTCTCAGATCTTTGAGATCCAGCCCACTTCTGGAATCTTGGATCCTAATGAAAGGTCCAACGTGCAAGTGAAATTCATGCCAAAAGAAGAGGTGAGCTTGAAAGAAAACTGGCTTTCTTGAGATGTTCCAGGCCTCCTTCAGGTCAAAGCCAATGCTTGCCTGAGGTTCACGTGCCCCTTGTGCGTGTGGTGTATCAGGTGCTGCAAATTCACCTAGGAGCTATGTGGCCTGGTGAGCTAGGCTCAGCAGACACAGGGAGTAACACAACTTTTTCAGCAGCCTGGATTAGTGGCTTTCTGCCGCTGCACTTACAGGCTATGTATCTTTGAACAAATTACTTTGCCTGACTAAGCCTCCTCTTGCTCATAGATAACATAAAAAGTAATAATATTCCATATCAAAACTCTTATTGCAATTCTGAAATCCAATAAGCTCAAAAAAGTGGGGGTGAAATTTCATAAGTTTCATATCAAAAGTTACTCAGCAGGAAAATCTCATCTGAACTGACATAGACTATTTTGCCTTTCTTTATCCCACTTAGTTTTCAAACATCACAACTGCAGAAATATTAATGTGCTTCATTACAGGGGACCTTGCTGAGATTCTGCTAACAGAGACAATATACACTGTGCTTGCTGCCTCTTTTACAAACCTAAGTGTAAAAACATCTGGACCCTGGAATTTCAGATGAGTTAGTACTGGCTTGTAACTGCTAGCATTTGGGGTCATTTTGAAGATAAATTGAACACATAGCAACTGTTATGTGTCCTAAGGGACTCGGTAATGATTGACTCCTACATCAGCCATCATGATAGTCAGTGCTTCCAGGTGGACAATCTCCCTGATCCTCGTAATGATTCTCCTATAAACACTATCAATACAAAGCTACTCCTGACCTAGAACTTGGTAAGATTAATAAAATCCTAAAACCAGAGAGGCTCTCAAAGTCACACTGTAAAGACTTTTAAAATATATTTTTAAAATTTTTTATTGAGCTTTGGTAAATTTCATATAACAGTTCTTAATCAAATTTAGACCCCCCACACACACACCCTCCCCCCCATCACGCC